TTCACTGTGTAGGCATTTGTCATGCTTCTAATGAACCAAGAGACTACTTTAGAAGTATGTGGCTCCGGTGAAGTAGTTTCTGGCTCTTCTGTGATATTCTCTTTCTCTCCTTCCAGAACATCAGTGGTGGTCTGTCATGAAAAGGACCTAAGCACAGGATATAATTTCAGTATCTTTGAGCTCTGGCATTAGGTTATTCATCTAGAAGTCATAATGTGTGAGTTAGTCACTCAGTCATGTCTGACTCTTTGCAACCCCATTGACTGTAGCTTGCCAGGCTCCTCTGTCCCAGGAATTCTCCAGGCCAGAATACTGGAGAGGGTTGCCATTCCCTTCTCCAGGGGCTCTTCCCGACCCAAGGGTCAAATGTAGGTCTCCCACATTGTGGACAGATTCTTTACCTTCTGAGCCACCAAGAAATCCCAGAAATCATAATAAGGGTTAAGAATTGAGAGAGTAGCATTGAAACATATACATTACCATATATAAAATAGATAGCTAGGGGGAAGTTGCTATATAGCCCAGGGACCTCAACCTGGTATAGAAGTCATAATGTGTGAGTTAATCACTCAGTCATGTCTGACTCTTTGCAACCCCATTGACTGTAGCTTGCCAGGCTCCTCTGTCCCAGGAATTCTCCAGGCCAGAATACTGGAGAGGGTTGCCATTCCCTTCTCCAGGGGCTCTTCCCAACCCAAGGGTCAAATGTAGGTCTCCCACATTGTGGACAGATTCTTTACCTTCTGAGCCACCAAGAAATCCCAGAAATCATAAAAAGGGTTAAGAATTGAGAGAGTAGCATTGAAACATATATATTACCATATATAAAATAGATAGCTAGGGGGAAGTTGCTGTATAGCCCAGGGACCTCAACCTGGTGCTCTGTAACAACATAGAGTGGCAGGATAGGGTGAGGGGTGAGAGGGAGTTTCAAGAGGAAGGGGACATTTATATACTTATGGCTGCTTCATGGTGTATGGCAGAAACCAACATAACATTGTAAAGCAATTATTCTCCAATTAAAAACTTTAAAAAAAATCAGTGACCAAATGGTCTCTGGTATTGGAATTGCAGGTATCTCATTAACAGTATGATCAAGCTATTTCATCAGATGGATGACTGAACTTGTACTAGAAGCCTTCTTTACAGAATGCCATCTCTCAGCTGTCAATCAATCCTCCAGGGTTTTGCACACTTGAATAGAAATAATACCCAACCACAGTATTTATCATCAGGCCCAAAGTCTTTCTCCAGCGTGAGTATTTTTTATCACTGAATCAGGATGAGCCAGTAAAATAATTTGTTAGAGGGAAAAAAAGTGTCTTTTGTCCTTTGGTTCTTGAACAGAAAGACGAGACTTTCTTGTAATCAATCTGCAGTCAAACCAGAGCCTACAGGTAAATCAGAAATCAAACTTTTGTGGATGACAAAGGATAGTGAGATCTCTGAAATAAAGGTGGAAAAATGAAAGTTTTGGTTGGATCTATTTTTCAGTTTCAGAACTTGGAGCAAATGACAGTGGTGATACTGAAAATTTTTCCAGATGCTAACACCCTAAGTGGAGAAGGAAATGGCAACCCACTCAGTGTTCTTGCCTGGAGAAACCCAGGGACGGGGAAGCCTGGTGGGCTGCCATCTCTGGGGTCGCACAGAGTCAGACACAACTGAAGCGACTTAGCAGTAGCAGCAACACCCTAAGTATCACTGACTCAATGAACATGAGTTTCGGTAAACTCCGGGAGTTGGTGATGGATAGGGAGGTCTGGCGTGCTGCAGACCATGAGGTTGCAGACTCAGGCATGACTGAGTGACTGAGCTGAACTGAACTGAACTGAACTGAACTGAACAGCCTAAGTTCTTCCTAATGTATTTATCTGTTAATGGTAAACAGACGTAAAGCACAGAACACACCCACTCTCCAAACAACCAAAAACTCTCACAAGGAATATGAAAGCAGAAATTTGACGATGATAAACAAAATTAGAAGCAGGTGCAGAGAGAATCCAGGGACATGCAAATATACCTTTAATCTGCTTATAACAGCACCTTTTCTCAGGTATTTTTCATAGGCAAATTTTAGTTCTACCTTGAACAAAGCTGACTTGCTTGCTTCATAATTTATCTTTTCTACTTGACATCTCTTCTGTATTTGTATTATTTCCATACTTCAATTTCTTTTCTGTACTTTGGCTCGATGGCTTTTAATACAATCAGCTGAATAGCTGTGCATGTGCGTGCGTGTGTGTGTGTGTGTGTGCGGCATCCAGGTGTGTGTGAGTAGGTGAAAGCATATTGTGCCTTTTAAGCAGCACTATTAATGAGATCACGTATAACAGGAGTCCACTGGTTCTATGAAATTAAGCAGTGATGGCAATTTCTTATTCTTAAAGAACATCCATATGGACTTTCTTCTCAAATTCTAAAAGCAAACATAGACTTGCTTCATAATTTATCTTTTCTACTTGACATCTCTTCTGTATTTGTATTATTTCCATACTTCAATTTCTTTTCTGTACTTTGGCTCGATGGCTTTTAATACAATCAGCTGAATAGCTGTGCATGTGCGTGCGTGTGTGTGTGTGTGTGTGCGGCATCCAGGTGTGTGTGAGTAGGTGAAAGCATATTGTGCCTTTTAAGCAGCACTATTAATGAGATCACGTATAACAGGAGTCCACTGGTTCTATGAAATTAAGCAGTGATGGCAATTTCTTATTCTTAAAGAACATCCATATGGACTTTCTTCTCAAATTCTAAAAGCAAACATAGAATAACATCTTGTGCATGCTGTGTTTGAAAATTCTTCTACACTGACTGAGTTGCAATTTATTTTTTCTGCCAGCTGAGTTGCCCTTGCTACCGTATGTGTTAGAGTCTGCCTGAGCAGAAAGTCTAACATTTCTTCTCATTCCTATTGTTTACATATAGGGATCTGCCAACAAGAGAGGCAGTTTGCATTTGTGAAAGGCAAAAATAAATTAATTAGGTGCTTAGGGAAATAATTATGTAAATATACTTCAAGGATTCCTTACAAGGCAATAAAATAAGAAGACTTGGCTACTGCTGGGTTTGAATCTATGAGCAGTACCCAGTCACAAGAGTCATTTCTAAGGAAAAGGTTGCAAATAATAAATAATTTGAAAATTTAAAACTGTGATCATCTAGCACACTTAGATGGTGTTTGGAATCATTTACCACAACCACAGATTTTTTTAGTATTCCTAACTTAGCAGCAGAAAAAAGTAAATATGAATCCTTAGGTAATTCAGGAATGAGTCTATTGCTTCCTGATCCAAGCATGAGATTTCTCTGAAGTCTTGTGGTTTCTCATAAATATTCATGATCATTTTGCATTGTATACATGTAATATACATGTTTACTTCAACAAAAAATTAATATGTCCCCAATCTCCTTGAATAAAATGATTCTGAAAGATATACCAACTTTATTCTGTGGCCTCCGGTTGGTGCGGAGGTTCTGTCAATATCATCAGGTGTCCCCGGGGTTAAGAGGCATACAGCAACCTGGCTGGCTTGTCACAACAGCCCCCGCAGAGTCTTCTACGAATGTAGTTTTTGTTATCTTTAGTTTACAAGGGCAGGAACTGAAGCTCAGAAATTCTAAGTAACCTAATACAGGTAAGCTATGATCTCCCAATGATTCCAAGCCCCACTGCTCTCTTAATGCCACTGAGCTGCCTGAATAAATAAACTTCTATCCTCGGTGCTTTCAATGGAGCCCAAAATAACCCCCCCCCACCTGTCATCACTTCTATGCTTCCCCACCTCAGCGCTATATAGAGACATGTTATATAAGGCTGATATTTTTCAGTGGGACTATTTTTGCTATAAATAAACTCTGAAAAATGTCACTGACCATTGGTAATTTTCTGGGTCAGGTGCATGGATAAAAGGAAACATGCAAACATCAGCCTTTCTTTTCCAAGTTCTTTCACTTTCTAAGTCACTCACTCACTCAGTCATGCACTCTGCAGGCTGACACGTATCCTCCAAAATTGTAGGCGCCACGTTCTAAGTGCTTGGCTATGAAAATTATATGTTCTCCACAGACAAATCACAACCACATTTAGTTGTTCTTTCTTCTTAGTTACTTATGTCCCTTTCACAGACCACTGAGTGGGAGAGAGAACTAAATATAGAAGATGACACAGTATAAAGTGTGCTTTCATTGAGTTATGTCCAGGGTTTTATGAGAACACAGGAGTGATGTATCAAAATGAAAAGGATCAGTCAGGGAAGACTTCTGGGAGAGGTGGTAAGTGAGCTGGAATTTGAAGGATGGGTAGGAGTTGACTAAATTAACCAGGGGTGCAGAGAGGGAGGAAGTGACTGTGTCATGGAGGGCAAATGGATTTCCTTACGTTATTGCTTCTGATCTCATGATGGAGTAAAACAGAAGAAGTTAAGGTGGATGTAGAAACCTGGTCCAACCTCTGTTAAATAAAGCTTTCAAATTTAACTGTGATATCTGCCAGGGCATGAGGAGAATGTCAAGCAATCACTAGATTACCTCTATTCCCAAAGTGTTGTTGGAAGTGAAACAAATGGAAAAATTCAGGTTTAATTATTGCGATAAGCATGGAAATAAACCTGATAAATGACAACCTTGGAAATATACAGCAGAATTAACAGGAGGGAGTTATACTTTTGCCCATCTCTTCTGCATATTCTTATCTCTTCTCATTTAATGGAAGAAACATACAATTGTATTTTTCCTGGAAGATTCTAAAAATGTCGTTGTTCTTACTTGCACCTTTATTTATCTATTTGCTGCCTTGGTCACAATGCCAGTTTTCTTATTTGTACAGAGTATTTTGAGAAAGTGGAGATCTGGGCAGACTATGGTCTATTTGTTAATGTATTATACATAAGGGCGGTTTGAATCTATTTTATCTAAGCCTGTGCTATCTATTCAGCTCTGAGTTTGCATAAAATACATATTCCTACGGCCCTTAGAATACATGACATTTTATCAAAAGTGACCTGTATGCTCCCGTATGTTTCTCCCGTGATGATACCTCCTGGGTTTCCCGTAACAAAGAACTTCAAGCTTCCAAGGAGAGTTAATGCTCTTCCTTTTGAAGATGGTGAGTTGGTGAGATCACACACTAGGTAACTGAAACCTGAAACATCATAAAGGTATTTTCAAAACTCAGGCATTCTGTGAATGAGACATGAAATGAATTTCATGCCCATCGGCTCCCTGGAGCCTTGTCACAATAGATAAGGCCAAATCGAAGGATGCAGCATTACTTCTTGTGGGCTAGTGAGCAGCAGAGTTAATAACTGAATCATCATTTCACTCCAGGACATAGAAGCTTGCTACATCCTGTGTCCTTTTGATCCCTTTATAATAGCAAACGAAGAAATACTTTTAAATCAGACCAAATGATGAAGACATCTATATATGCTCTTCTATAATTTGGCCTAAACACTTATTCAAAATCCCTTCCTCTGGGTGGGCTTCTCAGGTGAATCCCACCATCTGTTTACCTTAATATTTCATTTATATGGTACGTTGATTGTGTAAATGATCCCAGTTCTTCATACCCTCACCCCCTCCCCATATCCGCGTGCTTGGCAACGTGCCTCAGTAGTCCTCAGCATTCAGGGAACCTATTTCCCAGACCCTTGGTTCTGAGTTGGGCCATGTGATTTGATTATGTGTGTGTGTATGCTCAGTCACTCAGTTGTGTCTGGTCCTTTGTGACCTCACAGACTGTAGCCCACCAGGCTTCTCTGTCCGTGGAACTTTCCAGGCAAGAATACTGGAGTAGAATACCAATTCCTACTCCAGGGGATCTTCCCCACCCAGGGATTGAACCCACTGTTCTTGCATCTTCTGCCTCGGCAGGTGGATTCTTTACTACTAGCACCTCCTGGGAAGTCCTATGATTTGATGGGGCCTCTGCAGTTTCAATAGTTGTGGTGTAAGTGGAAGCTTGTTAGAGTGGCTGCCATTTCCATGTCCTTTCTTCCTCTGATTTTGCCATGAGAACAAGTCTGGACTAGTCTAGACTAGCTTGCTAGAGAAGAAATGTGTGTCCTTACTGTACCAGTTGCCAGGCAGCCAACCAGCAGACATCATTATTGTGACAGCAAGCCACAGATGGCCACAGGTGTACAACCAACCCTGCCGAGCCCAGCCTACGATTGTGGAGCACTGCAGACTCATGAGCTGAGTACATAGCTACTGTCTGATGACACAAGGGCTAGTGCTTGGTACATAGCTTTACTCTGACCATACATACTGATAACAAGTTCTGTTGTTTCTATTTATGTATATTATGCTTTCTAATTCATAGAAAAAAATTATATTTTGTTTTTGTTGCATGTACTAAACTTATTCCATTAGCCTCGCCTTTATTTAAAGAATTAGATTTATTTAATGAACTTTCTCTCTGAGACCCCAGAAGAGGCTACCACATGACCATTCACTCCCTTTTGCCTTTAACTGCTTGGACTAAGATTGTGTACCTGTTTCAAAGACAAGCAAACTGGCTGGTTGGCAGCTCACCAGATTTGGTATCTAATCTGATAGGAATTTGAATTAAGGCAACTGAGATGCTTGCTGAAGTGGATGCAATGACAGGGAGGTTAGGAATGGTTTTCATTTTGAACCACGTGCATAGTTAGTTCATTGTTAGATCAAGCAGATTGCAAAACAGAATGCCATATGCAGAAGGAAGCAGAGATGAGAAAGCTGGTGACCTCCAAAAGAAAACAAAGATGGCCTTGTGTCCTTGTGACTCTCTGGACTCCAGTTCTGGTTTTCATGGGTTCAAAATCTGATTCTAAGAGATTCCCTTTCACTTTCAGTCACCAGCCAGACTTCAACTCCTCTGTGTGAGCTAAATGGCTTCAATCATGTTTGACTCTTTGTGATCCTATGGACTATAGCCTGCAAGGCTCCTCTATCCATGGGATTCTCCAGTCAAGAATACTGGAGTCAATTGCCATGCCCTCCTCCAGAAGATTTTCCCAACCCAGGGATCGAACCTGCATCTCTTAGATCTCCAACATTGGCAGGCAGATTCTTTATCACGAGGGCCATGTTATTTTTAGAACAATTTTAGGTATCCTGGAAATTTGTAAATGTAGTACAGAAGGTTCTCATACATCCTGCACTCAATTTTTCCTATTATTAGCATCTTACATTAGTGTGGTACATTTGTTAAAGTGAGTCAACCAATACTGATACGGTGCATCCTTTATTCAGATTTCCTTAGTTTTTCACCATTTTTTTTCTCCTGTTTCAGGATCCCTTATAGGATGCATATAATATTTGGTCATCAAACTTCCCAGGTTGCACTAGTGGTAAAGACTCCAACTGCCAGCGCAGGAGATGCACGAGTTAGAGGTTCTATCCCTGGGTGGGGAAGATCTTTTGGAGAATGAAATGGCACCCCACTCCATTATTCTTGTCTGAAAAGTTCCATGGGCAGAGGAGCCTGGCAGGCTACAGTTCATGGGCTACAAAGAGTCAGATATGACTGAGCACACAAATCTTGTTAGACGCGTCTTTGCCAAGACAGCTTCTCAGATTTTCCTTCTTCTCCCTGTTGTTTGCTACTTGGTCAGTAAGTTGTGTCCGACTCTTTGTGACCCCATGGACTGTAGCCCACCAGCCTTCTATGTCCATGGGATTCTCCAGGCAAGAATACTAGAGTAGGTTGCCATTTCCTTCTCCAGGGGATCTTTCCCACCCAGGGATTGAACCCATGTCTCCTGTATTGGCAGGTGGGTTCTTTACCACTGAGCCACCTGGATGACCTTAAAGATTTTGAGGAGTATTGGTCAGATATCTGGTAGAATGTGTCCTCATTGACTTGCATATTTTTTTCTTGATTACACCAGAGTCTTGTGTTTTTGAGAAGAGGACCAGAGAGTGCCATTCTCACCACATCATATCAAATGTACATCTGTCAACATGACTCATCATTGATGATGTTGACCTTGATCACCTGGGCGAGGTAGTGCTTGTCAGGTGTCTCTACTGTAAAGTCACTCTTTTTCTGCTCTTTTCATACTGTATTCTTTAGTAGGAAATCACTCTGTACAACTTACATCTACGGAGTGGAGAGTTACGCTCTCTCTCTTTGAGAGCAGAGTATCTACACTTATTATTTGGAATTCTTTTGCATGGGAGACTTGTTTATTTTCTCCTAAGTATTTGTTCGATCATTGGAAAGTCATGAATACTTATTTTATATTTTAGGATACAGTCCATCACTATGCTATATATTGTGTTGCTGGATTTGTTTTCTTTGGTCAGTGGAAGATTTTCAATGTTTGTTTTTTGAGTGCTTCCTTACAAGATGCTCTCTGTGTCACTTTTATTAAAGTTAAATTTAGTAGGTCCCTATTGCTTGCATTCAACAAGCTTGACTGAAACACAGATTTCCTTAGGTTCAGTTGAATGTCCTATTTTCTTTCATCTACTCATACTCCATTCATTGTGTATGTGGGCATTTGTTCACTGCGTGAATATTTGCACATGTATTTGTTAGGTAAGGAGCTGGCAGGAGGGAGAGAGCTGTGGTAAAATTTTTGTTATTCAGTCTCTCAGTCATGCCCAACTCTTTGTGACCCATGCACTTCATGCCAGGCTTCCCTGACCTTCACCATCTCCTGGAGTGTGTTCAAACTCATTTCCCTTGAGTTGGTGATGTTATCCAACCATCTCACCCTCTGTCATCCATTTCTCCTCCTGCCATCAATCTTTCCCAGCATCAGAGGCTTTTCCAGTGAGTAGCCTCTTCGCATCAGGTGGCAAAGTATTAGAGCTTCAGTTTCAGCATCAGTCCTTCCAATGAATATTCAGGATTGACTTCCTTTAGGATTGACTGGTTTAATCTCTTTGAAGAGATTGGCAGGAGGGAGAGGGTTGTGGTGAAGTAGAGGAAAAAACAAGAGTTGGAAAACAGTGACTTCTAGAATACCCAAAAGAAAAGTCAGTGAAGCACCTAGCTGTTCTTGCTCTGTGCTACTTGCTTGACAAAGAATACAGATGTATCTTGCCATAGATTTTTAAGACTACTTAGACTTCATACTAATTATAGATTCAAAACCACCCGTATTTATAGTATTTTAACTTCATTATTAGTAGCATGCAAAAATGATATCATGCTAAAATATGTTAAAATACCAATAGGATATTATCTCTTAGCATAGGTAGAGCAGAAACTACTTCACAAGCATTTGTTTCATAGTGAGCCCTGAAGGAAAATTCACATATAAGAATGATATTGGATATTATGTGCTAGGACTTCACTAGATGCTTTATTGAAATATTAATTTTAATACTCAGAATAACATAATCCAGATGACAACATCAGTTCAGTTCAGTTAAGTCATATAGTCATGTCTAACTCTTTAGATCCTATGGACAGCAGCATGCCAGGCTTCCCTGTCCATCACCAACTCCTGCAGCTTACTCAAACTCATGTCCATAGAGTTGGTGATGCCATCCAGGCATCTCATTCTCTGTTGTCCCCTTCTCCTTCTGCCTTCAATGTTTCCCAGCATCAGGGTCTTCTCCAAGGAGTCATTTCTTTGCATCAGGTGGCCAAAGTATTGGAGTTTCAGCTTCAACAGCAGTCCTTCCAATGAATATTCAGGACTGATTTCCTTTAGGATTGAATGGTTAATCTCCCTGCAGTCCAAGAGACTCTCAAGAGTCATCTCCAACAGCACAGTTCAAAACATCAATTCTTCAATGCTCAACTTTCTTTATAGTCCAACTCTCACATCCATACATAACTACTGGAACAGCCATAGCTTTGACTAGATGGACCTTTGTTGGCAAAGTACTGTCTCTGCTTTTTAATATGCTATCTAGGTTGGCCATAGCTTTTCTTTCAAGGAGCAAATGTCTTTTAATTTCATGGCTGCCATCAACATCTGTAGTGATTTTAGAGCCCCCCAAAATAAAGTCTGTCACTGTTTTCATCCCATCTATTTGCCATGAAGTGATGGGACTGGATGCCATGATCTTAGTTTTCTGAATGTTGAGTTTTAAGCCAACTTTTTCACTCTCCTCTTTAACTTTCATGAAGAGGTAATTCTCAACTTCACTCCTCCTCATAAGAAGAACAGTTAGCAACACTTGGCAGAGAAAACACCATTGTGAAGATCCCAGAACCGAGGGTGAGGCTGAAGCACACCCTTGGACCATGGAGACTGAGAAGGTCCTTATTAGAAGGGTTAGAGGTGATGTTTCACAGTGAACCCATCACCCTGCCCCCAGGCCAGTACAGCGCAGCACTGTGGGGGAACCCCAGGGCCTATGGTTTCTCCAGTGGGAAAATAGAACCCAAGGTGGACATCCACATCTGCAGTGTTTCCCAGAGGCCAACTCGGCTCTTGCCTCATGTGGATCGATGGGGAATCTACTGGACTCAATCACCAGAGATGAGATAAAGTTAAAGAAAGCAGGAGGGGCAGCAGTTTCAGCAGCTAGAGTTAAAATTTGAGCAGACCACATTCCTGCTTGCAGCTGAGCCTGCATAGATCTCCCAGCCAGTGGCTCTTCCCATCTTCAGAGCCAAGCCAGTGACCCTTTCTAGTCAAGGAGCGGGGCTGACAACTCTGCCTAGTTTGGGTCTCATCCAAGAGGCCACACTGAGCAAAGTTAGACCACTCTATGGCCCGTCTGGGCAAGGAAGGAGGCTCAAA